TTATTTATTCTCAGCTCAATTTCTCCAGTTACAAAATTTAGGATCCTCGGCCTAGGAAATGGCACCCTGTTCACACTGGGATGTATCTTCCTAAATCAATTAACTCAGTTAAGATAATCCCTAACAGAAAGGAGAACACATATTATTGCTGATGGGAATGCAAACTGGGACAACCATTATTAAAAGCAATGTGGATGAAAATCCATCCTCAGAAGATGGAAATAGGTCTACCATGGGACCCAGCTCTTGGGAATATACCCCAAAGACTCTGTATCTTAGTATAGAGGTACTTGCTCTTTCATGCTCATTGCTGCTCTAGTCACAATAATTAAATGGAAATGGCCTTAGATGCCCATCAATGATGAATGGATAACCCTGTCTCGAAAAACCATAATAAATAAATAAATAAATAAATAAACAAATAAATAAAATGACTACTAATGTCTTTTTGCTGTAGATCAGTGTACCTCAAAACCACCAGAGAAGCTTCTCTTTGCAGCAGATAGCAGTTAACACACAGACTCTCAACTGGCCAATGTGAACAAAATAAGAGATGCTAGAATGCCCATTCCTAAATGGTACATATATAGCATCACACCCTTTCCCATAGGCTCAGGGGTTGTGGAAGAGAGCATGAAAGGATTTGTAAGAGTCAGAGACCACAGATAACATCAAGGACACAACAATACAATTTAACATATGAATTCTTACTAATTGTAACTGGGTAAGATCTGTACCAGCTCAAGCCAAATAAAATTCCAGGATGAAGACAGGAGGTTGTGTGAAATTCTCCCAGTAGCCTAGGAGCCATTGGCACATGATAGATGTAGGAAAAGGAGGAGCCAGTTTTCTTCGGTGCTATGACCAGCCATGTAGGTGGACCACACATTCTAGGGAAGACTTTGTTACTGTAGCACAGACACTGAAATTGACAATTAATAGATGGGACCTCCTGAAACTGAGAAGCTCCTGTAAAGCAAAGGACACAGTCAGCAAGACAAAATGGCAGCCCACAGAATTGGAAAAGATATTCACCAACCCCATATGTGACAGAGGGCTGTAAATTCCAAAATTTACAAAGAACTCAAGAAGCTAGTCTCCAAAACACCAAATAATCCAATTAAAAATTGGGGTACAGAACTAAATAGACAATTCTCAACAGAGGAATCAAAAAATGGCTGAAAGACACATAAGTGCTCAACATCCTTAGCCATCAGGGAAATGCACATCAAAACAACTCTGAGATACCATCTTACTCCTGTCAGAATGGCCAAAATCAAAAACACCAATGATAACTTATGCTGGCAAGTGGAGATGTGGAGAAAGGAAAACACTCCTCCACTGCTGGTGTGAGTGCCAACTTGTACAGCCACTTTGGAAATCAGTATGGAGACTCCTCATGAAAATGGGAATCAGCCTACCCCAAGACCCAGCAATTCCACTCTTAGGCATATACCCAAATAATGCACACTCATACAACAAAGACAACTGTTCAACTATGTTTATAGCAGCACTATTTGTAATAGCCAGAAACTGGAAGCAGCCTAGATGCCCCTCAACCAAAGAATGGATAGAGAAAATGTGATACATTAACACAATGGAGTACTACTCAGTGGAAAAAAACAATGGAATCTTGAAATTTGCAGGCAAATGGATGGAACTAGAAGAAACCATTCTGAGTGAGGTAACCCAGTCACAAAAAGACAAACATCACATGCACTCACTTATATATGGATTTTACACATAGAGCAAAGGATTACCAGCCTACAATCCATACCACTAGAGAAGTTAGGCAACAAAGAGGACTCTAAGAGAGACATACATGGTCCCCCAGAGAGGGGAAAGAGACAAGATCTCCTGAGCAAATTTGGAGCATGGGGGGAGGTGAGAGGGAGCTAGGAGAATGAGAAGGGGAGAAGAGGAGCAGTGAGGATGACATAAAGGAGCAGGAAGGTTGTGTAGGGGGAAGAATAGAGGAGAGCAAAATAAGAGATAGCATCAGAGAGGGAACCATTATAGGTTTAAAGAGAAATCAGGCACTAGGGAAATGTCCAGAGATCTACAAGGATGACACCAGCTAACCATCCAAGCAACAGTGGAGAGGCTACCTTAAATGCATGCTCCTGATAATGAGATTGATGACTAATTTATATGCTATTCTAGAGCCTTCATCCAGCAGCTGATGGGAGTAGAAGCAGATACCAACAGCTAAACACCAAACTGAATTGGAATCCAGTTGCACAGAAGGAGGAGTGATGAGAAAAGTGGACAAGGCTGGTAAAACCCACAGAAACAGCTGACCCGAACAAGTGGGAGCTCTTGGCCCCCAGACTGATTACTGGGAAACCAGCATGGAACTGATCCAGACCCCATGAATGTGGGTGTCAGTGAGGAGGCCTCAGAAATCTATGGGGCCTCTTGTAGTAAATCAGTGTCCCTACCTGCGGGACATCAACCTGGGGCAAGAGAGTTAGGGATAAGGAATGGGGACAAGAGATACAGAAAGAACAACCACGAGACAGGATTCTGATCAAGTGGCAAACTTCACTTTTCTCAGGCTAGATTATATGTCAGGATATAGGGAGGGGCAGAATGGGTTGTTTGTGCACAAGGTGTTAGTATAGGCAGGATATTAGGAAGCACAAATAGGATGTTTGGCAGGTTAAAGAGTTCATGAGTAAGACATCCAGGAAGGGTTGCCTAGGTGACTAAACCTGTGGGTGGAGCTCTGGGTCAAATTGTTTCTTTTCTTGAGCTGAGGATCTAAGGAGCTGCTATGTAAAGGTTAACTATGTGCCCTGCCAAGCATGGCCATACCAAGCCCTGCGATTTGGCTCCCAACAGATCAGTACTTATCCTTAGCATAGGAATGGACTTTGGGAGCACATTTCACATAGAGGGATACTCCCTCAGCCTAGACACAAGGCGGGAGGGCCTAGGCCCTATCCCAAAGGATGTGACTGACTATGAAGATCCCCCATGGTATACCTCACTCTCCTTGGGGAGCAGAAATGGTATGGGATAGGTAGGGTGTTAGTGGGGGCAGGGGAGGGTGGGAGGAAGAGGGAATTAGGATTGGCATGTAAAACAATCTTGCTTCTAATTTAAATTAAAAAAATGGAGGAAAAAAAAAGAAAGTTGAGCCAAGTGATCTGCACTTAATGTAGAGGGGAGAAAATTCAAAGATGTGTGGGTAGGGAGGGGAGGGTGAAGAGAGTGGATATAGGAGGAGTTGGTGATACATATGATCAAAGTAAACTGTAGAAAATTATCATAAAAGTAACAAAAATATTACTTTAGAAAAAGATAGTCACCATACCATGGCTACAGATCAACCCGATGTAGACAATCCCTCCTTTCTGAGATCCTCTTTCCAGGTGATTCTGGGTTATGTCAAGTTGACAGTTAAAGCTAGCTGTCACAACAATATTGGACTTGCTGATGCTAATTTCTACCTTTTATCATATGCTTCACAGGGATGCTATGAAATTAGAATAGATAAAACATGCAAAGTGTTTTTCTGGCTGTTTTTATGTCAACTTGACACAAGATACAGTCATTTGGGAAGAGGGAATCTCAGCTGAGAAAATGATCCCAGCAGATTAACCTCTGGGAAAGCCTGTGGGGGCATGGTAGGGGAATTTTCTTGATTAATTGTTGATGTGGAAGGGCCTTGCTCATTATTGGTGGTGCCCCTCCTAGGCAGGTGGTTCTGGATGGTATAGGAAAGCAGGCTGAGCAAGCCACACAGAGCAAGCCAGTAAGCAGCCTTCCTCCATGGTCATTGCTCTATTTCTACAATCAGGCATCTATCCTGAGTTTCTGTCTTGACTTTCCTGGATCATGAACTACAACCATAAGGTTAAATAAGCCCTCCCCTCCCCAAATTGTCTGTAGTATTTTGCCATGGCAACAGAAACCTCCACTAAGACTACTGCTTAGCACTGTGGGGGGTTCAGTATGTTATTCTTCTTATTTTTTTCAATGTTCTTGGTATATAAGGCCTCTGCATTTAACCCTACTTGGGATAAGGAGTCTATGTCTAACTTATCACTGATTTTATTGATTATAGTAGGGCATCTTCTTTGCACTCAATGACAAAGCTCATTCCTCTTGTCATTAGTTATCAGCTAATGGAAACCAGACATTGCTGTTTTATGGGCAAGTTACATACAGGAGCTTTTGACCCCACAAACAAGGAAAGAGATGAACACAAGTTATCCAACATGAAACCCAGGCTTAATCCTAGGACTGATTATCTCACATGCTGATTTTAATTTGAAAACCATGTCATGCTCAATCCCCAGAATCCTTGTTCTACATCTCACCCATGCTTAGGGGGTATCACATTGTAAAGTTGAGAATGTAAACCTTTGTGAAAATGGGTAACTTTCCAGAATTCATAGGCAGTTGTACTATACTGAGTAAAGTCTAGGTGCTGAGCATGGTACCTCTCAAATAAAAATACTTAGTAAATGACAGTTCTTATAGTTTCCTCCTCTTTTCTTCCTACAATACTCTATCCTTAATCATTTCCGTCAATACCATCATCACCAGAGTCAAGGGAGAAGCTTTGGATTCTATGGTTCTGCCTTTAACCTACTATCATTCCCAGGGGCAACAGTCACTTTGGACCATTCTAGAGATGTGTGGTCCAAGTTGTCTAGGAACTTTGAGGGTCTTATAGGACAGGATTCACATCTTGGCCCCCCTGTTTTCTGGATACCCTATTGTGCCAAACTACATAATGTTCAGAGTCTTAGATTTGGGATCTGTGAACTGAGGATGGTCTCCTGTCTACTCCATAGATTACACTAGGCTTAAATGAGACAATATGTGGAAGTCACAGAATAGGCCTCACACTGTAGTGGTCCAACAACTCTTACCAGAGCCTGGCATCTTCTCAGGCACACTGGCTATCCCAGGCTGCTATCCCTGTTGGAGAAGTGGTGTGGACAACTGTATCCTGTGTTCATGTGTTCTTTGGTTTTCTCTTTTAGGAAAAGCACCTCATTTCCTGCGACTCCAAAATGTTGAGGTGAACGTCGGGCAGAATGCCACATTTCAGTGCATTGCTGGTGGGAAGTGGTCCCAGCACGACAAACTTTGGCTTCAGGTAAGATGGAAGAGAATCTTGTTCACACTGTTCCCTTCCTTCACAAGCAAGAAAATATGTTCTGTGAAGAAGGGTGTGGTGGTGAAGAAGACATTTAAAAATATCTCTGCTCCTTGGATATTGCTCTCCACCCATGCCCTTGTGAAATGTTACCTACTGTTCTGCTAGATTGCTATTTTATAGGCAGAGAAACTGATGGCAGTGTAAAAGTTCTGGGTCTAGTATTTGTGAATACAACCCCTCCCCACTATTCCCAAGTACAATTACTAAGGCTAAGACAAACTGAATGTCTTAGGGTCTGGGTTTGTGACATCATTCGTCCTTGACTAAAAGGTACTTGGATTTCTTCATGAAACTGTTGCTCTTTTCTTAGAAAATGCTCCTAGGATGAGCAGTCTGTTCTCTGGCTAAATGAGTCCATCACTGAGTACAGTCCTTCAGGACAGTGTTTTAAGCCTGGATACACTTGTCTGTCTTTTCTGCTCATTGATCCCACTTCCCTAGCAAGATGAGAGAACATTTCTGGGTAGGGTACAAAGCCAGATGATGGGGCACAGAATGAGAACACTCGTGGTGATAGCACTGTCATGCTCCCATCATCGCAAACACAAGTACCAAGGTCTGAGGCAGCAGAGAAGGGAGAGCTGAGCTTTTCCCTGCAGTATCCACGAGGCCATCTTTATTCTCCTCCCCCGACTCTCACTCCCCCACACACATTTCTTTTCTTTTTGATGATATCTTGCTATGTAGCCCAGGATGACCCAAAACATTTTATATTTCTGCCTCAGCCTTCCCAGTGTTGGGGTTACAGGTATGAGCTACCATATCCAGCTTCCATTTAATACCGAATATTTTCAAACAGCTTTATTGAAGATAATTGAGATGTAATGTTTAAGGCATACAACTTGACAAATTTCATCTATTTGTGTGTGACTCATTTCACAACCAAGTTAATGAGCATTGTTGTTGTCTTCCAAGGTGTCCTTGTCCTCATTTTTAATCTTTCTCTACTCCAGTGTGTAATAAAGAACCACTGGTATGTTTCCTGATACTATGTATTAGCTACATGTTCTACAGTAGGGCTTGGGGGAATGGGGTCAGTGGATGAGGCCCTTGCTGTGCAAGCATGAGGACTAGATGTCAGATTCCCAGAATGCATGAAAAATCCCTGTGTAGTAGCATGGCATCTATCCCTGAAGGCTTATTAGCCAGCTAGCCTGGTGTATGCACAGTGGACACAAGAGGAAGACCCTGCCTCAAACAAGGTAGAAGGTAAGGACTTATGCCTGAGGTCCTCCTCTGACCTTCACATGCCTGCTGTGGCACTAGCTTGCTTGTCTTGAAACACACATGAACACACATGACACACACGTACACACACACACACACACACACACACACACACACACACACACACACACACACAATGGAATCAAGCAGTACTAAGATTTTTGCTTAATAGTTCTGGGGTGAAGTCCATTTACATCATTGCTTGTATCATTTATTTAATTAGCTTGTTCTTAGGAATAATCCATTCTAACAATGGACTATTGATAGTAATCCATATATCATAATTTTCTTATATATTAACTTGCTGACAGCTGCTTGTTGCATTGTTTCCAATTTCTTTTTTTTTAAGCAATGGAATTTTGTTTATTTACTTTTGGGTTTTACATCCCAACAGCAGTTTCCCTCCCTCTTCTCCTTCCATTCCTTTCCCTGACTGCCTCCCGCCATCAACTCTTCCTCTTTCTCTTCAGAAAAGGGCAGGTTCTCATGGTTATTAGCCAGCCATGGTATATAAAGTTGCAGTGAGACTAGGCACTCACCCTTCTATTAAGGCTAGTGGAGGCAATCCAGTAGAAGGAAGGGGTCCTAAAAGTGGCAGCAGAGTCAGAGACAGTCCTTGTTCCCACTGTTATCTGCTTAAGAAAAATCTGTTGTAAACATTAACATTCGAATCTATTTGTGTATATATATTCTTTCATTTCTCTTCGGTAAACATCTAGTAGTGAAATGGCCAGGTCTTGTGTAGATGCGAGTTTAACTACCTGAAGAACCAAGAGCTCTTTTTCAAACATGGCATTGTGCATGATTTGAAAGTTTGTTTTCCTGATGACCAAGGATGTTGAATGAGTTATTGTGTGCTCATTGGCTCAGGTGGATTCTATATACATTTTTATGGAGTTCATGCTGTCATTTCTCTTAAGTTTGAATCTTTTTTTCTTGCAGTTGAAAACTCCCTGGGCAGACAAGGCCCATCTTAGGAACTCACAATTTCTCCTTGCTTCTTATGTCCCTCTTTCTGTGTCGCTCAATATTAAGGAGTGCTATTGACTCTTTTCATCATAATTAGAGTTAAAGTACATTTTGCTCAGAAGAAGCATTGTCATTTCACTGGCATTGACTCCACTGGGTCATAAGAATGAGGTAGGACAATCACAGTATTTTCAGAAACTTTATTTAGGTACTGCAATTATAGTCAGGTCAGTGTTGCTGCAGTACTTGTATGCACTAAGCCTCAGGTCTGTAAACAGAAGGATGTTAAAGCAGATCACAGTGCAAGTGTTGAAGAAAACAGACAGAAATACACATTCTTATTTATTTATCTACCTTTCAACGTTTTTCTGGTGGCTTACAATAGGATACAAAGCAAGACAAGATAGTGTAAATTAAAAGCAAGCCACCACGAGATAGGAAGAACACATGAGAGCTGGTTCTTAAGCTATGACTACATTTCTGCGTTCCCACTGCTGGCTTGTGGGTCACAAGAGGGATGCCGGAGCACCAGAGCCACCAGTGGGATAAAGAAAGCTTGTCAGATATAGAGTTTACAATGTCTGTGAGATAAACACAAACCAATTGCTCTGGAAAATTTTAACTGTTGTTCACACAGAGGCCAGACAAGAATAGCTCCCAGGAGCCCTCATAAAGCAAAGACTGTGTGATGTAATGAACAGCGTCCCCACTACAGTCTTATTGAGTGTGCACAAGTAGTTTTTGTGGGTCTGTTTCACATCATAATAATACTCTGTATGAAAGCAAGCTTAGGAGGTGGAAGGAAATGGGGGGCACAGCTCAAGCAGGGGTCCTCGGCTTTCTGCTACTCTATCTCTACCCTAGGAGGCTTTAAACTTAATGCCATGAGTTGATAGATACAATAACTATCCCTGCAAGGAAGGCTCCTTGAGTGTTGGCTCCCTCCTTCATATTTCAGGGACTATTAGGAAGGAGGACTTAAATACTGGGCTTTCTGCCAAAGTCCTGTGTGACTAGTGAAGTTCAAGGCATGTGTGCAACACTGTGGATGTAAGTTGTTCATCATAGTAGTCACAGGGAAACAGAAATAACAGGACACACACTTGTACACAAGCACATGTAATATGTAGACAGGTCCATCATTTCTGGAAGATAATTAGGCTCATAAAATCTAAAACCTTCAATGCACATAATTTTCCAAACTTAGCTTCACTTAAGGCAGTTTTCTAAAGAAATGACCAGAAATGGAGATAGAGATGGACCTGCAACTATATGCAATTGGACAGAAAACTAGAAAATACTAGATTATTCTGCAAAAGAGATTAATTTGTAAATGCTGAAATGAAGTAATTAAATATCAGATTGTGGACAGATACTTAATGATATTCTCATAGCATGTAATTAAGTGAAAAGTACAAGCTATAAAACAGTTGATATATTTAATATTTTAGTGAAAAAACACATGTACATAAATAAACATGTGTGAAGTTATATACTTACTTATATAATGTAATACATCCATATATATTATGCATATATGTATATATACTTACAATACTATAAAGCATGCATCAGTATTACTAATTGTGATAATAGATTGTATATGCTTTTATTCTTTTTTCTGTTTCATTGAAATATTAAAAGTGAATGCAGGAAACATAAATAAAAATAAATGCCAATAAAAAGTGGAGGGATGGTCACTTTTCCTTAGATGTAAGTATTCTAGGAATGGCAGGAAGTGTCTCCTAGGCTTGAGTGGCCAATTTTCAGTGAAAGGCTGGTACCCTGGTGAAGACACAGACCATTTTCCCTCAGGCAAACTGTTCATCCAAGTGGGTGTTTAGAATATTCCACATGTGTCCTCCGTTCTTATCACAATGCATAGCTGATGGGACTCTATCCTCACCCCACTCTCCAGGGACTCTAGAGCAAACCTGTCAGGACCACCATGGAGCTGGAATTTGAGGCCTCTCTACAGAGAGTATGCTCCATTGGGAGTCTGTACAGCCAACACTTGCCGCCTCAGAAAATGAGGCCATGTGTCCAGAGGCCCTCATGGATCTCAGCAGGGTCTGTGTATGTGTCGAGACAATCACAGGCACAGAGAGGGTCTGACAGGAAAAGGCTCTCATTCTGGGAACCCATTGCTCCGTATCAGCTGCACCTGGCTGTAAGATAAAGAGGTATGTCAGTGAGTCCGCCTAGCAGCAATTCTTCCCGTTAACATTTTACCTTGATCCCCGTGGGGAAGCACTGGCTACCAGTGCAGAGAGGGCTGGGTGAAGAATCTCCTCCCAAGGGCTCTGAACTCGATGTCCTTCTGTATAGGGCCTCTGCATGGTAGCCAGAGAAGCTCAACAATAATGGTAAAGCCAGGAGGGTACACATAACAGCACACATGTCCTGAGGGCCTGCACACAAAAAAAAATGTGTAATGGTCACCATGATCTTTCAAGAAGCGGACATGAACAGCCTCAGTGAGGTTGAATGAGCATGGACAGGAGGGAGGCGGAGAGGGGGGTAGTGATGGAGAGTGTAAATGAAGACTTGAGGGTCAAACTGGGGTTGAGCAGGAGAACCAGGAAAAGAATGGATGTTGCATCCTGAAATCTTGGGTTCATTCATGTCACTTTGCCACACCAAATCTGATTAATATTTTTTGCAGGTAGATCCCTATTTAAAAATGTAACTCCAAGCTAGGGAAAAGGCTCAGTGGGTCAAGTGCTTCCACTCATGCATGC